CATGTGATATTCGGATCTTTGTTTCTGTGAGAGGTCACTCAGTATTATAGACTCTAGTTCCATCCAGGTTGCTGCGAAATTCATGATTTTGTTCTTTTTTATGGCTGCGTAATATTCCATCGTGTATATGTACCACATTTTTTAAATCCAGTCCTCTTTTGATGGGCAGCATGGTTGTTTCCAGGTTCTTGCTATTGTGAACAATGCTGCGATAAACATACGTGTGCAGGTATCTTTTTTATAGAGTGATTTGTGTTCTTCAGGGTATATTCCCAGTAGGGGGATTGCAGGGTCATATGGAAGGTCAATTTTTAGAGCTTTTAGGAATCGCCACACTGCTTTCCGCAGAGGTTGCACTAGTTTACACTCCCACCAACTGTGTAGAAGTGTTCCATTTTCACCGCACCCTCTCCAGCAGCTGTTTTTTTTGAGTGTTGATAATTGGCCATTCTGACTGGAGTTAGGTGGTATCTCAGTGTGGTTTGATTGCATCTCCCCTGATGATTAGTGAGGTTGAGCATTTCTTCATGTGTTTGTTGGCTGCTTGAATGTCTTCTTTTGTGAAGTGTCTGTTCATGTCTTTTGCCCATTTTATAATGGGGTTGTTTGTTTTCTTCTTTTCAGTACGTTTCAGTTCCTTGTAGATCCAGGATGGTAAGCCTTTGTCAGACCTAGAGTTGGCAAATACTTTTTCCCAGTCTGTAGGCTGTCTCCCTGCTCTCTTGATGGTTTCTTTGGCTTTGCAGAAGCTTGTCAGTTTAATAAGGTCCCATTTGTCTATCTTCTCTCTTAAGTCCTGTGGGTTTCGGGTTTTGTACAGGAATTGGATGCCAGTTCCGATTTCCATGAGAGTATTTCCTTCCTTTTCTAAGGTTCTTATGGTTTGAGGTTTTACATTTAGGTCTCTGATCCATTTGTAGTTAACCTTTGTGCATGGGGATAGATAGGGGTCCTCTTTCAATCTTCTGCATGTGGTCAGCCAATTTTCCCAGCACCATTTACTGAATAGGTTCTCCTCTCCCCATTGGTAGGTGGTGGGGGCTTTGTCGAAGATGAGTTGGTTGAGAATCCATATATTATTTTTAAAAACTCTCAAGTTAGGAATAGAAGTGAACCAGCTCATCTTGATAAAGACTATACAAACTTACAGTTAACACATGTATGATGGAAGGACTGAATGCTTTTCCTCTAAGATCAAGAACAAAGATATCCACTCTTGCCACTGCTATTTAGCATATAACTGGAAGTTTCAGCCAGTGCAATAAATTAAGAAAGAGAAATAAAAGGCCTACAGATTGGAAAAAAGAAGAATGAAACTGTCCTTATTCACAGCTGACATGATTTTCTGTGTACAAACTCCTAGAACTTATAGTGAGTTTGGTAAGGTCTCAGGATATGAGAATAATACACAAAAATCAGTTACATTTCTTTATTGCTAATAATGAACATGTGGAAACCAAAATAAAAGCAATGCCTTTTACAGTTCTATAAAGAAAATCAAATACTTTAGGTGTAAACTTAACAAAACATGTTCAGGATCTGTGTGCTGAATATTACAAAATACTGATGAAAGATGTCAAAGAAGACCTTAGTAAATGGAGAGATTTACCACATTTGTGTATTGAAGGACTCAGTATAGTAAAGATGTTAATTCTTTCCAAATTGATATGTAGATTTAATGCATATCATATCAAGATACAAGCGAGGGTTTTTTTAGACATAGACAAGCTTATTCTAAAATTTATATGGAAAGGCACAGGCCCTAGCAGCTAAAACAATCTTGAAAAAGAAGCATAAAGGAGAGGGAATTACTCTACACAATATTAAGGCCTACTGTATAGCTACAGTAGTCAAGACAATGTGGTACTGGCAGAGGAGAGACAAACAAATGAGACAGAATGAAGAATTCAGAAATAGATCCACACAAATATGCCCAACCAATATTTGACAAAGCTAAAAAAAAAGATTGCTTAATAAAAGGAGAATATCATTTCCAACAAACAATGCTAGAACAATTGGAGCAAGGAGATTTAGCCTAAACCTCACACTTTATATAAAAATTAACTCAAAATGAATCACAACTTAAATGTAAAACTGTAAACCTTTTAGGAAAAAACCACAATTTTGGAAGTAACGCTAAGCAAAGAGTGATTAGACTTGATACCAAAATATGATCAATAAAAGGAAAAATTGTGGACGGGCTCATGCCTATAATCCCAGCACTTTGGGAGGTTGAGGCTAGAGGATTGCCTGAGCCCAGGAGTTTGAGATCAGCCTAGGCAACATGGTGAGACCTTGTCTCTACAATAATTTTTTTTTTTAAATTAGCCAGGTGTAGTGGCACGCACCTATAGTCCTAGCTACTAGGAAGACTGAGCCCAGCAGATCAAGGCTGCCTTAGCCGTGATTGCCTGGGTGACAGTGAGATTCCGACTCAGAGGGATGGATGGATGGATGGATGGATGGATGGATGGATGGATGGATGGATGGATGGATGGATGGATAGGCAGATAACAGATAAAGTGGATCTTGTCAAAAAAACTTTTGCTCTCAGAGGACCTTTTTTAAATTTGTTTTTTGCAGGCCTTATAAAGAAGATGAAAAGACAGGCTGTATACTGGGACGAATTTTTTTTTTTTTTTTTGAGTCTGAGTCTCACTGTTGCCCAGCTGGAGTGCAGTAGCATGCTCATGGCCACTGCAGCCTCAACCTGCTGGGCTCAGGCGATTCTTCTGCCTCAGCCTTCCAAGTAGCTG